GAGCATCTCTATCTCACATCAATGGAGATATCGAAGGGCAGCGGCAGCTTCCCATAAGCCCTTACTTCACCCGAACTACGTGCGTAAAGCGTTCCGGTAATGTTATGCTCGTGAATCACCAACATTTTATTAGGTTTGCCGTTGCTGTAGTTAATTCAGCGAAGTTAAGAGATGTTCAAAAAATCAGATGGTAACAGTTAAAGAAATTGACTGGAACTCGGTCGTTTTGGTAAGTGGTTTTCCTGCGTGGAGACCCTGGATCGACCATATCAGCGATTGGGGACCACATTCGGTAAGGCGATTTTGCGTCCTGGAGTTCATGCGTAAACCAAACCCATTTTACTTATTCTTCTTTCTAATTTATTGTAAGCTTTGTTTCAATTCTATTAGTATTAATTAGCACGACGTGGAGATTGGACTTACTAGTGAAGCAGAATCAGCCACTCACAATAGTTTGCATAAATCGGATTCTATTTGCCTTTATATCGTTAAATCGTCCGTTTGTTTTACTGTGTGTCTAGTGAGTTGTGATCCAGGTTACTCCTTACTCTTGACAACCAGCCCCCAGTTACTTGTAGTCCTTTGCCATCGCGACGAGACTTGACCTTAATGTGGTGCGATGGTTTGCCTGCCTCAGCGATCTACTGACCTAGACCTGGAGGTGCTTTCTGCACCTTCAGAGCCACCCATAGCAGACTAGTCAATGGTTAGAGATTAGATAAACTCAGTCTCCTGGCCCCCAAGGTTGGGGATTGGAATGAGGATGACTCCTTATTCCTTAAAACGGACTCCATGTAGCCCAACGCCAAACCCGCTGCCTTGCGGCCAGGTTTTTGAACCAAAAGCTTTGATTGAGAACCCTAATCGTTCTCCCGTCTAGGCCTGGGCAATCTGACAGTATCCTGTCCGTTCAATACAACTCCATGTACTTCTCTCCGCACGATTTCTTGACGCTTTGGCTGTCGCAGAGGATAATAAACGGCGCCGTATCTACGGCGTCGAGCAGGGTGGATAGGGATTTGGATTCTACTGCTCAAGCCTTCCCGTTTTCTTATCCCTCTCTTGCGCCTTTACATCTTTATCGTCCCACTCCAACTTCATTTTCATTCCCCCTTGCGTTCAATCCCCCAATTCTTGGGTATTCACTATGGTCATTTGTCTTCTAGTTCCGACGCACATGCAATCGCAGAGCGTCGTTCTAGTCCAGTCGACAAGTCTATGTCCAACCAAGCGTACAATGGCAGTTCATCCGTTTCTCCTTGGAGCTCCCGATCCCCGCTAAGACTGGCGTGCCCCAACGTGCGCACCTTGTCTCGGATTGGCCAACGGCAGCACTTGTCCGAACACAAGAGACCCTATCGATCGGCATCTGCCACTCATCGGAAAACCACCTGCAAGATGCGAGTTCCGTGAGTACCCTGCGACCTCCCACAAGCGACACCGGCGGCGTGTTCTCATTGCGTTTGCCTGGAGATAGCGCAGCTTCAAGCCGGTGTGTGCATTGTTCTGAATCCCCGGGTTGAAGCTGCGCTGGTTGACTGGACCCCAATGAACAGCCCGATGTGCGCCGTCAGATTGGCTGCTTTGTTAAGAGCTTCGAAGTCGCGTATAGACAAACAATGACTGTTTGTCACTGTGGCCTACGCGCCCACAAACTGTAGTGCCGATTCGGTGAAAGATGGGTTTAAGCACCAACTAAACGAGCTCCATTACGGGAAAAGTACAGATGCTGTGATCCTGGCTGGCGATCTGAAGGCCGGAGTTGGAAGTGCCCACTGAAAAGCTTCAGCTGAGCTGCCAACACGATGTAGGCTCTCGGAATGACAACGGTGATCGGCTGCTACACCTGTGTGTCAACGCTCGTCTATTTGTCGAGAGCACAAACTTCCGACACAGCATCCGCCGGAGAGTGACATGGCGCCCACCCCCTCAAAACAGCCATGGACACAAAACAAACACAAGGCGATTATTTAAAGCTGGAGAGGCTGTGTCCAAAACTATTAATCAATTTGGAGGCACTCGTATGTGCCGATCTTACTATACGCTTCGGTGGCGCTTGCGGCGTCGCTGTGAGCGCATAGATACATGCCAGCTGGCAAAGTCAGATGTCCTGAATGCGCATCAAAGTACGCTGGCATCCGGGCTGAATAAAAGCTCTCTGAACGCAATAGAGGGCCACTGGTCGCATATTCAAAAGATGTTATTGGCAGCTGGCATGTCTTCATGTGGCAACTCAAATTGCCGACCTGGACATTGGGTCTCTGTGTCGTCTCTGGAAGTTTTGGATGCTCGCCGACACATTCCGATCCACAAAGACCTCAGTGAGAAACTGCGTGCCAGCCTGAAGAGAGACCGTGAAGCGTGATGATCTCATCGTGCATCAAAGATGAAAAGGGCCGCTGCCCTTGTTAACCATTAGAAGTTATTCCGTTTAATACACGAAACGGGAAGAAAGAGATCTGGTGTTAGCGAGATCAAGCGTGATGAGGGTGGACGGGCGATCCCCAGTTTGTCAAAACGCGTTGGGCCGAAACCCTTTGAAAAACAGCTTGATTAACTAGTTACCAGCTACTTCTGCCACTGATCGCCGTTCTCCTTGTGTCGTCCTCATGGACCTATCTTCACGCGCAGAAGTCGAACGTGAGATCAGAGTGTTGAAAGTAAATAAGGCCACAGGAGCGTATAGAATCCATTCAGCTCTCTTCAAATTCGAGGGACCTGCTCTTGTACAGGATCTGCACAACTTACTTGTGACTGGAGCCGCTCGGTAATAATCCCAATTTGCATGGGGCTCATCTTCTGAATGCGGCAATCATAGAGTGATCAGGCTGAGTACAATTTAATCGCCTTTGTCGTTCTTCATAGACTTGCTGGCACATGCGAAAGTCAGATTCGTGAGGAGCAAGCCGGATTTCGTCGTAATCACAGCTGCATTGATCACATCTTCACACAGCGTCAATTATTGGAGCACTGCTATACTTATCGGCGCGCCACCGTAGTCGCGTTCCTAGACATCAAAGGTGCCTTCGATTCGGTTGATTGACGTGCCCTTTGGGACTGTCTATTGAGGAAAGGTGTGCCCGAGAAAATATGTAAATGTCATAAGAGCCATGTACGCGCATAATTCGGGCAGACGGTTTGCGGCAAACATTTGCCGCTCTCCAATAGCTAGAGCGTTGTGAGACAAGGATGCCCGCTGTCACTTTTCCTTTTTGACATCTCATCGAGGAAGTCATGGAAACTGCGTTCACTTGACACGACCTGCAAGGCGTGAAGTTTCTCCCAGGTGAACGACTCACTGACTTGGAGTATGCCGATGACATTGCCCTTTTCTGTGACAGCTCCCAAAGGTGCCAAGCAGCACTGGACAAAATAACACTGGCTGTCAGTCGTTTCGGGCCATACTTTGCACCCTCGAAGTGCAATGTCCTTCTCCAAGATTGGCAGGGGCCCAACTCTGCGCTGACACTTGGTGGGGATCAGCTAGAAGTCCTCGAGATATTCAAGTATCAAGGCAGCTATATTAGCGCCAATGAAATAGAAGATGAAATCACAAACCGCATAGCAAAAGCGCGGGGCGCTTTTGCCAATCCCCGCTATCTGTGGCGCTGGCGCGATATTACTCTCGCCCTGAAGGTCAGAGTTTACGATGCAGCCGTTCGACCAACCCTACTGTATGGTTATGAAACCTGGCCCAGTAAGTCGACAGACATGAATAGGCTACTCACGTTCGATCATCGCTGCCTGCGCAGCTTGGCTTGTCTGGTGGGAGCACCGTGTGAGCAATGAATGTGTTCAGTGTCGCGTATTTAATGCAGAAAGGTCGAGTGATCCGCTCAGCACCATTATGTCACGCATCAGGCCCCGATGTCTCGGAAATGTGTTGCGCATGCCAGCACACTGACTCCCGCGTAGTGCATTGTTTGCGCGCCTGTGGTGTGGATAGAAGAAGAGGAGTGACGGCCAAGCGATGACATGGTCAAGAGATAAAATCCATCACTTCGAAGTTGGCGTCGATTGGTGTCTCCCGACAACCTGACTGGGGTCCGAAAGACAATGAACACGTTTGGTTGGATACACTTGTTGATATGGCAAGGAGTTGACCTCAGTGGCGTTAATGTTGTGGGTTTCTTTACCCCTACAACCACGATCTCCCTCTTGACGCATAATATGTTACTAAGGAGACTGTCGCATTTTATAATTTTCAGTATCTTGCCTTTTCGTAGGTCTTATCCTTATGTATTATGGCACGATAGTTGAAGTGTCTTTCACACCTTCAGCTAATGTGTAATTATGATGATGATGATGATGCAATTCATGCGGGATCGAACTGCCTCCCACTTTTCCGTCACTTCGTATTTGTCACGTTTCCTGCGTATTATAACTGACTAGCATTCGAATCATGTCATGCAAGGTCATAGTAACCAAAGCTGTGCATTGAAATTTTCGCAGTATATGTTTCAGGTGAAGAAAATGAACGTGAAGGTTTTTGAACCTTGTGCCACACCCTAGGCAAAGACAGCCTTGTCGCAATGGACACGATACTTTGGAAGCAGACGAGAAAGGTAGAGACATGAGTGACGTAAACAGTCTAAGGGACATAGTGGTAAATTACTGTGTTGGCCAAGCGTAAAAACTACTGACCCTAGATAAGCGGAGCAAAAACTGATTCACCCAGAAACCATTAAAGACATAATGGTAGTAGCGTACCGTTCTGATGGGTATTGATGTACAGTTTCAAGGAAGATATTAATATTGGCGTAAGCCGTTTGACTTGCTCTATTCCCCGTTGAAGTAATGCGGAGTGTGACTGGATTGTTAGCTCTTCCTGCCGGGTATCGACATCCTTGATCATTTGAGCCATGCATGGTGTTAGACGCTACAAATTAGGCGGAAAATAGACAGTTACCTTGACAAATTCTGCCAAAAGTGTAAGTGAGTGAACATCTTTTATAGTGGAGAGCACAGAGAGGACGTTTCTGCAGCGTAAGATGATTTTCCTAACTTCGGACATGTCGAAGGTCAGCAACACGGATGATGTACCCTGTAATATACCTGCAAAAGTCGTTTAAAATGAAAAGCGAACCTCGAGATCCTTCAATTAGTTTTTTTCTTGCGGCCTCAGAGCCTGAGTCGACTTGAAGAAGCATAACCGCCTCTTGCAGAAGAACTGAAGCACTTTCAACTCGCTTCAAAGATGGTGGCATATCTCTACGCAGGATATCGTCATCACTAGATAAAATGGTTTCGTGTCCGACCTATTCGGATATACAGTAAACGAAACGAACTGACTTTGATCAGGTTATCAACGGCCTGTTTAACGACTCCAACCCGATGCTTTAGATCAGGTATCTCTGTTCCAACTCCGGCATCTTCAAATAGTAATATTAGCTTAGAAACCTAATTAGTTATAAATAGCACATCAACTCAAGTCTAACCTGTTGGGCGACGGGATTCAATATCCGTTCGATCGACTTCGTATGGAAAGAAGACATGCGGCGCTGTAGTGCGCAACCAATCCCAGTTGGAGCTTAGGTAGTTGAAGTGGCTGAAAGAAAGAGGGGAAATTCCACCTCAAATGGAGTTATGTCACGGGCAGTTTCACCACGGCAAGTGGGGAAGCAAATAACGCAGATTGCGTGGCGACAGCATATTCTCAGACCATAAGTGACCTAACAAAAGGGAATACGAGGTCGCAACGAGGGCCAGGCGGTACTTCAGAGGGATACAAATTGATAGAGAGGATAAATATAAATGAAGTTGGAAAGAACAAGGAATTGCCGTTACACCATCTGCCCACGGATGGGCGTCGTCCGCGAGGCCACGAACAGTGCTTAATGGAAAGCCAATCATGGATTTTCGGTAGCAGTTTCGGGACGGCATACATGATGTTCACTTCGTTGAAAGATGCACATAGTTATTCGGTGTCACAAGGGAGGGAAGATATAGAGTTATGCCTATCAACTTGTATATCCTCCACAGAGAAGTAACAGGTCCCCCCAATACCTGCACACGTGATGAGTTGGTAGGCGGAAGATAAGGCGTTTGATATGGAATGGCAATGCATGTCGAGTAGAACAGGCAGTAGACTGACTGCATCGGAAATTATCAGTGGCGTTGGTATTGAAAGAACGTGATACTTCCCAAGGAAGTTCAGGGAAGCTAGGATGTGATACACCATATTTTGGCTGTGTTCCAGTGCGTGCGGCGCAAGTTCTGACAGCGATTAACAGGGGTCGTTGTGCAGCACAGTCAGAGACGAGGGAACAGCGTGCGGTACGCAACGAAATCGGAGGGTAACAATCAAAAGTATCGTACGTAGACACTTCATTGAGCAATGATGTGTAGAGAAGCGCAGCCGAAGAACAGGACTGCGACGCCACAGAGACAATATTATCTGATTATGGTACAAGAGTTTCTGGGAACAAAACCACACAAAGTTTTTGTGGTTTGTGTAGTTGTGGATCTTGTGGGATCCCGAACGCCCCAGTAGATGTGTTGTTGACGACCACCGATCCGCAAATACAGACCGACTGTGTAGCACTTGACAACCCCGTAGCTGGTGTTGGGAAAGACAACTGTATACTAGATTGCCGAGTACAGACATGTGTAGTGCCGCATGTTTTCCCGTTTGGAGGAGGAAGTAGTGCAGAATTCTTACCACCTGCTGGAATCAGGGCGTCTGCAGGGAACTCGATCGAAACAAACGGATCGGTGATCACATTATCCAGATGCAGGACGTATGGAGCTTGTTGTTCTACTGAGATATTAAAAAGGTAAGCTTCCATCGCTCGGCTCTTAAGAACCACATTCATACCGCGTGAGAAACGTGGTGCACGAGTGGGTGAGTAACCTGAACAGGAAACGAATTCCATCCCACCTCCGTCGTCAAATATGTAATGCGCAATCGACCCCAGTTAGAGCTTAGGGGAAGTTCACCCTGAACTGATCGAAATCTGCGGTTTTTCATGAGTAAGCAGAGAAAACTGTGGGACAACTTCAAGTTCTCCCAAATGGCCTCGGATTACTCGAAGTACCAGATGCTCAGGAACCCGCGTTCCCATGAAAAGCGCGAGAGAAGACAAAAATATGAACTCAGTTTGGCAGAACAATCTTTGTCTATACCGAAAAATATGTGCTTATCTCAATAAAAGAACCATAGTGGGTTGCGGCATATCCGCTTTGTTATCCAACCCGACAGGTATCGCGCTCCATGAAGACGACGAGAAAGCGAATCTCCTGGACCAGCAATACTCCTTCATATACTAGCCAGAAGCTCCGCTGGGCAACGTACACAGATCTACACACCCTTACTGTCCAGAACTTATTGAATTCAGACCCGGCAGTCATAAGACTTTTACTTGAACTGAACCCGAACCCCTAACCTGGCCCTCAACACAATGGCTTCACCCATTTGCCAAGTCTTTCAGCTGTCCTTGAAGAGGGGTCGCTTACCGATCGACTGGAAAAATGGGACTGTAATGTCCAACTACAAAGGGAGAAACGGCCAGGACCTTGTGAACTATCACCAGTTGCTTAACTTACATCTTCTTAAAGTCATGGAAAAGATTATCAAACGCGTTCTACATAAGCACTGCGATGAAAAAAAATCACTTTCTTTACCCAGTATGGTTTCCAGAAGTCGCTCCTATTCTATCAACCTGCTAGTGGCAAGAGAAAAGTAGGCGACGTAAACTGATGCCGGACAACGCATGGATGTGGTTTTTGTCGATTTCAGCAAAGCGTTTGACTAAGCCCCACACCAACGACTACCCCGGAACCATAAGGAAATCAGTGTCAGCGCTAGCCTTCACTCGTGGAAGATCGGACCATACAAGTGAGAGTGAACGCAGCGCTTTTCAAGCTCTTGCAGATGACCAGCGGTGCTCGACAAGAATCTGTCCGTGGACTGGACTGTTCAATGATCTTCCTGAAGCACTGCAAACCGGATGCTTGATCTATGCCGATGATCTCAGGCTGTGACCTTGATGCAGCCGGTCGAGTACAGGTGACACTCGATTTATTAAACAACTGGTCCATCAAGTGGGGCGTTCCAATAAACTACGAATAGTGCTGCGCTCTTTCGATTGGGGCTTCTAAGCCAGTTGGAGCTTACCACATTGGTGGGTTCATTCTCAAACACGCCGCTCAGGAGAAAGATCTAGGCGGAAACACCTCAGCTACTGTGCCGCAATACCTAAAAGAAGAAATGGAATAAAATGCAACAGGTGCAAGCCAGTTAAGCTATCAGTAACGGATGGGCATCGTTCCGGCAAGCTACCAGCCGGCTACTGTACAGCAGAAAAAAATAATTTACTATGCAAAATTATAAAAGGCTAAATAGTGAGATGGTGATTGGAGGGATGGGGTGGGACAAAGAAACTTACAGCACGAACGGTTCCTAGTCATATCAGCAGGTGTATCCGGCCGTTCTGTCTTACTACGGCTGCTCCGGTTGCCTGAGAATTACCGGGTAGCGATGACATACGTGCTATTAGTGCTGAATTGGAAATGATGGGATTAACGTGGGACCTCTCTTTTGCCCTCTACTACGCAATGAACTCAGTGAATGGATGACGTCATGTCGCAGGCAGTCTTATTCATTGAGTTCATTGAGTTGTAGAGGGTGGAAAGGACACGCGTTAACACCATAATTTCCAGTTCAGCACAAAGAGCACGTATGTCGTGGCGACCAGGCAGTCCTCAGGGAACCGGAGAAGTCGCAGCAAGGCTGCGCAGTCTTGGCGTCTTGTGCAGGTGAGTAACTAAGAGCTGTTTCAAACTCCTCGGTAGTCGCATCAACAAAAGTCGCCGGTACACGGTTCCAGTCATTCACTACTTGAATGGAGAGAGGGACAGCGGTGCGGACTTTGAACCTCCTCGGTTTGAACAGCTTCCAGTTGTGACCTGTCGAGCCATCTATGCTGAGGTGAAAAAGCTGCTGTACCTCGTTTCCAAATTCCTTCTTAGTAGGCACCTCGTGAAGACGCGGTCTCCACAATGACGGTACTTTACGGAGCAAAAATATAAATAAAAAATAATGATGTGTCACCTGTACGTCGGTAACGGCGCTTTGCTGCCGCGCGACCACCACCGGTCGCGCGACGGATGAGTATACCGGAAGGACGCCAATCCCTACGCGAATTCGAACCTGTGACTTTATGATTGTAAGCCAGGCGTGCATACCACTCGAGCACCAGCCTAATTTCGTGGAGAACAGATTCATCTGAAGCCGGAGGGAGAAGGAAAGATCACGAAGCTCGGAAACGGAATAAGAACCACGCCTCTTTTGGATTAAAGAACTAAGAGAGTACGTAGTTAGCAGCATGCATTCTAAAATCGGTCGCACATGAGAAGTGAACTGGAGCCTGAAGATCGTCCGTGTCGTTCGAGAGAAGGATCACCTTATGGCACAGCACATCCCGTTTGCAGCGGCGATTTTTCAGTGTATTCTGTGGTTTTGGGTCAAGCACTATTATTACCCCCATATCTTTATCCTGAGAGGCGTGTTTGAGAATGAACCCACCAATGTGGTAAGCTCCAACTGGCTTAGAAGCCCCAATCGAAAGGGCGCAGCACTATTCGTAGTTTATTGGAACGCCCCACTTGATGGACCAGTCGTTTAATAAATCGAGTGTCACCTGTAGTCGATCAGCTGCATCAAGGTCAGGCACTACAGATCACAGCCTGAGATCATCGAGATATATCAAGAATCCGGTTTGGAGTGCCGCAGGAAGATCATTAATATGCAGGTTGAGCAGTTTGCATCCAAGCACGGAGCCCTGTGGAACACCGCATATCATAAGCACAGGCCTGGAAAGTGTTTCGCTCGACAACAAGCAAACAACAACAGCAGCAGTACATCAGCCATTTGAACTGATGTTTCGCTGCCATACGACCAAGATGACTTACGGAACGAAGAATAATAGGAGGGAGAGATGGGGGACTTACCGGAAAGTCCTAATGCCCAAAGCAAACATTTAGGGTCAAGGCGACTACATCTAGTGTTAGCAACAAATCGTCACAAACAGCTGCCGATCGTGCAAAGATAAGGTGGAATCAGTGAGACAGCTTTCTTGTGACTTTCACTGACCCGCGTCATAATCAGCCATTACCCCGCAGATAACTGAGAACCAAACACACTTTAAACGGGCAGTCCGAGTAGAAGGCAGCAGACGCGCCACCAGTGTCGGTTATGAGCCATGTCCTGTAAAGGCTCGAGCTAAGCACAAGGAGAGTTACGTGGACTTCAGCCCGAAAAGCTAGACGGACAAACGCACAGTTTGGGCGTTAGTGACTACATTTCACGCTGCCAAGTCAACTTTTATCCACCTCGAGTTTTGCGCCATCTTACATCTGGCAGACACAATAAGGCCCTCCTATGTGAGCGGTGACCAGGAATACGTAGAACGTACCCAAACCAACGCCATTTACTCAGTGCTACCTGGTGTTCTAAGAAACTAGCATGATTATTGCTACCTCGTAACCGCCTACG